TCCAATTCATAATCATTGGAGGTTATAGGGAGTTAAGGGTGGATTGGGAGTTGTATGTTTGAATTTCAAGTTCAAATTCCCTCCAACCCTTTTAATAACTTATGGGACGGATAATCTCATATGGGCGACCCACGACCCGTATTTTTCTAACAAGATTTGTGCTGGGACTTAAGCTTAAGCTGGTCCAATGTAGATATTGGGGCCAATTTAACTATAAAATGGGAAAATTACCTCAATTCCTACCCTTTAGGTTTCAATTTCAATAATAAGGTATTAACGACTTTTTATCAAAATTCAGGTTATAATTGGTGTTAGATTGAGGTGGTACAAGAAATTTTCATCAATTTGACCGATTTAAAAGTTAATTTTTGGATAAAAGGATTACTAGGTGCTTACTTTTAACTAAATAAATAAAGAAAAGAAAAGTAGACAAGACAGAATCCTAGAGTCAAAAAAAAAAAACACCAAACACCATCACCTCTGTTCAAATTCAAATTTAAAAAAATTATAATAAGTTAACAATCACACATGCGACAATTTGAATATATGTTCCATCAAATTAATGAATTCCCGATCATAGATGCTGGCTAGAGAATTCAAATTCAATATAGAGTCGAGTTAGAATTTAGAGACTTCAGATAAAAAAAAAAAAAATTAAAGTCAAAAAATCGAAGCAAAAATTAAGAGGGTCTTCTAAGAAGAATTCAATTCCACGTCTCTGAGAAGCACAAAGGTTGCACGTTTAGATGCATAAAAGGTCTTAGAAGAATTAAGTACTCGCAACCATTAAGCAACAATGATGATGTAATTCCTATCGGCATATGCATGTATCCTATCGGCATATCGTAGCATTTCCGCAATAATAGATCACAATCAAACCCCTCTTAACGATAATCCTCCAAGTGACTTATTTGTCATTCCATTTCAAGTCATTCAAAACCCCCTCCATTCTTAATTAAAATTTTTAAAAAGGTTAGTATCTAATTTTATCCTTCTTAATAATGGTCAAATGAATGTTAATCTCTAATTTTTTGGTCAATTAACTTTCCTTCGGATTATATCGGCCTTTTTTTTTTTTTAAAGGTTTGGGACTTTAGCCAAAGACGAAAGGTTTGGGACCTATTG